CAAGCAGGTAAAGTCGGAGAGAGAAAAAAAAAAAAGAGTTGGTAGGTACAGAGCTCGGGTACCACGCGCAAAGCAAAGCGCAAACTCTTTGCGTTTTCCTCCTCATTCTTTCTAGCTGTTCCAAGGGCTCAGCTTTTCACATTTGTATGCGTGTGTTTTGTGTATGCACTTCTGTTTTATTTTTCCACTTTTTTCGGCTCATCATCCAGGATATTCCTCTCGGTGTTGACGCACCGGTCGAATGCATACGAATAACGGGAAAATGAAATAAAAAAATTAAAACTAGGTGTTGTAGTGTAAAATTTTTTTTTTTTTTTTCTATCAACAACCTTTTTTTCTCTGGTTTATATTAATTTGTTACCAGTAAAAAAAATAATAATAATAATAAAAATAAATAAATGTACCGAATACTAATGCCGGTGTAGCAGATTGCGTGTAAAAAATCGACGATTTCCTTGAAAGTGCTATGTATACGCACGAGCCCCGCGGGCCGATCGGTTAATCGAACGCATACCGCGAATTCGTGAAAAATAATACGAAGTTGTGTGTACATAACAAAATTTACGTTGGATTTCAATTTTAAAGGAGAGCTTTTACAACATTTTCGCAAGCTCGAAACAACCTGAAAACAAAAAGAAATCGAAGTAAAAATAATAGTTATTCGTACGAGTTTGGGGATGAAAATTGAACTTTCAACCTTAATTTTCGCAAAAATTGTGTAATCTTACGAAAAATATAATTGAATAATTTTTTCTTTCCTCGGAATGCGGTAAAAAAATAGTGGTATAAAGTCTTTCTCGCCGGTTTAAAAGCATATATATGTACAAATCGATGGGGTAAGACGCGCGCGACGAACCGCGGAATCAAAAGACACGGATACGTGCACTATACACACGTACATTCGCAGTGGAGCGTATAATGCCCTTATCTGCATAAAAGGAAGAAAAAAAAAAAAAAAAGGCAAACGAGGAGAGGAGAGAAAGAGAGAGAAAAAAATTTTTAAAGCGCGACAGAGTGAGTAGGTATTCGGGGTGGGGGACTGACGCGTGTGCGGCCCAGTCAGTCCGTCTCTCTGTGCTCCTTTCTCTCTCACGCTCACGCTGCTCAAAAAAAAAAAAAAAAAAAAAAAAAAGAGTTGGGAAAAAAAAAAACAAATTTATTCAAGAAAAAGTTGCAAAAAAGAGGGAGAGGTGCATGTGCACACACGCCACACACACGGTGTAGAAGCATCCCTCCCCCTCCCCAGCCGTCCATCTACGCTTACTTTGTCTTCTTTTTCGCCTCTCTGTTTCTTTTGGATGGAAGTTAGTCCCTTCTTTTTTCATTAATTTTTTTTTTTTTTTTTTTTTTTCAATTCGATGTATAAGTGGATATACGTCAAAATCTTCAAAAACAAATTATAAGAAAAAAAAAATTTAAGTAACTTCACAATGGATGTACGGTTTAGTTTTTAAGAGTTTGGTCATAAATTAAACAAAAAACAATATATTTAGAGACCATTTTTGCTCATACCGAAGGTATAGATGAGCCAAGAAAATAAATTGGGAACGTCAAACGTGAATAACAATGATAATCAATAACGTAATCAAAGTATCGAAGATCTACTTCGTTTATAAGTTTATTCTTCAAAATTGTTCCTCCCCTCGTGGCTTTTCGGAGACTTCGACATATATATATATTGGGTGCGTTTTCCTGGTAAATAATTGTGCGAGGACGGCAGAAGACGAAGAATATACGAGGAGGAGGGAGAAGAGATCTCTCTCGCCCGGTGGCTGCGGGTGACCATCAGCGACGATCAAGCATATACTTACACGATTTATCGTATCAACGGCACATAGTTACAGCCGCGCAGCTATACTGATGTACAGTATGTAATTTATTATTGCGATTAAATTAAAAAGAAAAAAA